GTGATTTTTTTCCCTGACGTTTACTGATGTTTTTGGTTCTTGTATTTTTTATTTGGATTTTGCTTCATTAAACTTAGAAGAACTTATCTCTGCATTTGGGTCCTCAAGCAACCTCGCCCCCCTTGTTGATAGTGATGGGTTAATGAGGCATCTTGAAGCCAAACTGCATTGATACTCATATTTTTTTAAAAGAATAAGTACAGTAAAAAACTGTAAATAAACTAAGAGTTAATTTGAAATTAACTTTAATTCAGATAATTTGAGTGATAACTAAGAGGAAAAGGCTGAAACGTTCCTATTCCTTTTAGGCTGCTGCAAAATTCTTGATAATTTCAATTATAAACAGAAAAAAGATGAGACATTTTTTTGTAGCAGTTGCATGCTGTAGACAGATACGTTTTTAAACAGTTTAGTGTTTCAGTCTAACATGACTTTCTTGAAATGACTCGTGCACAGATACAGTGCTTTGCTCTACGGGCTCGACGCATGCACCGAGGCATCGGTGTTACTGGACTGATCACTACTTGTTAAAAAAAAATCATTGTTATTTGACCTTTGAGAGACTAAGTCTGGCACAAAACCTCTGAGTCAGTCTGAGTCTTTGTGGTTTTGTCTTTGCAAACATTTAAAAATATAACAGGAAAGTAAGCAGAATGCTGAAGTCTTTACAGTAGAACTGCTAATTAAAGCTTTCCGTTTACTTCTCAGGTGGTGTAATGTTAGAAAATTTGATCTAATTGAATATCAGGGTCATAGACCATTCAGGAACAATCCTCCTATAATCTAATAACCTAATCTACTCATCCGCACACAAGCTTACATGCACTCATTATCAGAAAGAATGTCATATTAATTTGGGCTTTTTCGTTATTTTTTAAGCTGTCATTCACATTAAAAACTAGTTAAGTTTATATCTTCCCAAACCAGGTTTTTGGAAAAAGAATTACTAAGGCTGGATATTGCTTTAATCTTTCAAGGCTGGATAGTGGATGTTGGATTAAAAAAGGTAGCGCCATTTAAAAACAAATGTAGAAAACTTTGAACCAATCTGACTGTATGATCTGGTTGAATTGTCTCTGTAAAGAGCCTGGAGATGACGAGTGGTGAATTGGCGCTACAGTTACGCTATAATGCGGTTCACCTTTCACAGATTGGCATTGGGCATCGTGTCCTACATTCTGATTGGCTGAACAGCCTCCATGCGTCCTCTCTACCAATAATGTGTCAATAACGTTACGGTTTAATATACATATACATGTACATAAAACAGCTCGTCATATATGGTCTGTTTGCCTCAAACTGATCATATCAATGCACAATTTTTCTCAATGTTTTTTTAAATACAAAATGACAAAGTTTGTCTAAGTCTTGTCAGATTTAAGTTTGTAAAAACCATAATGTCGACAAAATGCTTTGCACCGACCAAGGCACTTGCAGATGGGTCCAAAAGGCAGTAGAAAATTCTAAGTATTGCATAAAAACTTCAGCACATGCAAAAGAAGGTTAGAAGCTATGCAGCTGTAGGTAATCATTACGGAATTATTGAATCTTACGTTCGTTCCATAAAGAAGGAAGAAAAAAATAATGGAATAATGGAATAAGGATGGCAGCAGGTATAAGTTTTAATTAATAAAGATGCAAAAAGGGTTGCAACTGTCCGCAACAAGACCATGGCAAGGATGGAATCTGCATTCGCGTTTTCTGGATTAATAAAAGCAGAAAAAAGAACATTACGCTGGTATGAATGTCATCTGCACTGAAGCTAGAACACTGTATCAAACTGAGAGCGATGACAGTCATGACAGGGAAGAGGAGGAGGATGTAAATACCGGGTCATCAACAAGTGCTGTTCATGCATTACCAAGCACATTTAATGCTAGCAAGGGCTGTTTTGAAAAATGTAAGAAATGTTTTGGACTTTAAAATATTTCTCTGCACAGTGAGACTCCCTCTCACCATCATTGAGGAAGGGAGATATGAGCCTGAAAAAGATTTTTATAATAATTGTAAATAAGTCTTTTGGGAATGTAACGCCAAATGAGGGATCACTTTATATACATAAACTGAGTTGAATTGAACTT